TGGGATTACGTGGTATTAGCCTCAAAAGAGCAAGACCTCACAAAATCGCACAGCCTCTTCCATGTAGAAATTAAATGTTTAAAAGGATATAATATAACTAAGAGTTTATGTTTTGCTGGTTAAAAAAAGAAAAGAAAACCACCACCAACTATTATCGTTGTTAGGAGTCATTGCTGGGTTCCGAGTCATGGCGACACCTATGTACAACAAAATGAAACACTGAACTATCAAAAAAGAAAAAAAAGGAGAGGGGGTAACACTAGGGGTGCGGTTTTTACTCTGACAGCCCACCACCTGTCTCGAAACAGAGCCTTGTGCTGCAGCTTTCCTATCCAGCATCTAGACCAGGAGAAACTCACTCTCTACAATGTTTGCAATAGGACAAATGCACACAGATTTCCAGGGTGGCATTTCCCAGGCAAGCTTTAATAAAGAAACCAGGATCTAAGAAGAGGCACTGTTAAAGTGGTCACAGGACTACCCAAATCAAACCAAGAAGCTTCACGGATCAGGGATCCATGCTTACTGTCAGCTCTGAGAGGTCCTAGGCCCAGTTGTCCCACTGAGGTCCACATCATATCCACCTTAGACAAGATCCTTGGGAGGTGTCAACTTGGATCTGAGAAGATGCCCCTCAGGCCCGTGGCATAGTCCGAGGCTTTGTAAAAGGTGTAAGGACACACTCTGAGGGACGAATGCCGCGGACTAGCACCCTCAAAACGCAGCAGTCCCTGGCCCCGCCCCACCGGTAACCCGCCCCACGTAGACCGGAGGTTGTCAGAGGGGGACCGGAAGTGACTTCCCCCAAAGTTCACTTCGAGGAGTTGCGGCGAAGTGAAGTCGTTGTTCTGAGGCGGGTGGGCTCAGGTGAGCAGAAGGAGACCCAGAGTTGGCTAGGTGTCAAAATATGATGTTGATGACCCAGAAGGTCCAGAGTATCCGTGTCTCTTGTAGGCTTTCGAAAGGCCCAGAATAACTTTCAAAATAAGGCCCTCAGTGCTTCCGCCTTGGGCGTCTGTGAGGTAAAGCTTGATCTGAAGAAGGCCTCGGAGTATATGTGAGAGTCAAGAGCCCCATTCCTTATCCAGATTCTGAAGAAGTTGAGGACCTTGGTCTTGGGGAGGTGACATCAGGTCAACATAGGGAGGAGTCAGAGGGTCCAGGTTTAACCTGATGACACGTCCTTTCTCTCGCACATCTGCGGTTTCGGTGAAGTGATGTCCTTGATCCTTTGGCGTTATGTAAGATCAAGTCACAAGAGGAGTAGTCCCAGGTCCTGCCAGGAGTAAAGATGAGGACCCTGAGTGACGTCTGAAGGGTTCACTCACCCCAGACAGAGGGGCCCCCAGAGCTCTGCCACTCCTGTCAGCCTTGTGGAGTTGGATGGACAATGAGATGTAGCCTTACTTCCTTCTTAGGAGCTCTGGTGGCGTAGTGCTTACGCCATTTGACTGTTGACCAGAAGGCTGATGGTTCAAACCCCCCAGCCACTCCTCAGAAGGAAGATTGTGCAATCTACTTCTGTAATGATACTGCCTCCGAAACCCAAGGAGGGGTCACTATGAGTTGGATCCGACTCAACAGCAGTGTATTGAGTTTTGTTTGCACTACTTTCTTCTTGGGTGTATCAGAGAGGCAGGCAAGTCTTTGGCCACTGTGATATCAAGTAGGAGGTGGCAGGGGACCTAGCTCCAAATAGTATCCAATATGAGAACTCTATGTGAGGACTGAGGACACCCAATCAAAGACAGAAAACACCCATAGAACCTCACCCTACTGTCAGCTTTAAGAGGGCATGGGAAGGGTTATCAGGCTGTTACCCCTCACTTCTACCTGCAGATCTCAGAGAGATGGTTTGTTTGTTTCTTTTTGTGTGTGTGTGTTGATGACATCAACTCAGCAGAAGGAGAAGTCCCAAGACCTGCCAGAAGTCAAGGTAAGGTCCCTGAGGTGTTTGCAGGGACAACTCACCCCAGAAATTTGGGGCCCCAATTTTCGGCCTACTAAGAGTCCTGGGAAAACTCTGAGCAGGTGTGTCTGGATGAGTAGACCCCTAGCTCCACAATGGTGGTCACACGGAGATGAGGCGTTACTGTGTGTGGGCCACTCCAGGAGCACAAGGATGAGTCCCAAACCCTGTTAAGAGTCAGAATGAGGACGCTGAGTATGTACAGTGTGGATCACGACTCCAGAACATGAGGAACTACACAGAGGTGCACACTGCTCCTATGGTCAGCCCTGGGACAGGTGGCCATAAGTAGCACACCTTTACCTAATCTGGTAGTGTGCTAGAGAGGCTTGGGCCTTGGGTTTGGGTGAGCTACTTCAAGTCAGCAGAGGGGAGGGTACCCCTACTGTGACAGGAATACAAATGAAAATCTAGAGTGAGGACTTATAGTGCAACTCACCCAAGGACAAAGAGGAAAAAGGCCCTGCCAGGAGCCAAGGTACAAACCTAGAGTGGTCAAACTTTGCCAGAACAGAGGCATTCCCAGAACTTCCCATGTCTTTGCTATTAGCCTGGGGAATGCTGACTTGCCCATCACTGTCTTCTCTGAAGGCTCTTAGAGGTAAGGCCTTGGTCTGAGGTT